CCAATTTAACTAATAAGAATTAAGCTTGTGTTTGAAATTTTGTATGCTAGTCCTATTTAACCTTATAATCTATTACTATTACTATGACAGTTACAACAATAATAGCCCTTTTTCATTCATGTATTTGAGGAGATATACTAAGGGGATGTTACAGTTTGTAGTCTGTAGGATGTAAAGCCGCATCTATGTAGTATGATTGGAAAGCAATCTAGCCTTATTTGGATAATATTTTCCATAAATGTTTTATAAGAAAACAAAATAAGAAGATAAAATGAATTAAACTTCTCTCATAAGTATCAACATATGTATCTTGGCTTTTGGATAAGTTAGATAAGAGATTTTCTATAAAAGTTGGAGTATACGAGTTTAACTTATTGGAGAAGTTTAATTTGGAGAAGTTTAATTCATTTTACCCTATTTTCTTCTATAACTGTTTATAGTGAAAACAGAGTCCTAGTTATTCACGCATAGCAGTGAGGTTCCTTGGCAATCCTATGAATCTAACGGAGGGTTAATTGGTACTAAACTAATAAATTTAATGACTTATCAAACAGATAAATACATTTAAAATGAAGCATCAAACTATAGATGCTGACTGCTTTTTCTATTCCTTGCAGCTGAAATACGGAAACAAAGGCTTATTGAAAAATATAATCATCTCAAGGTATATATATCTTAGAACATCTTTCTGTATACCGTACCCCGACCCTTTTATGCCATTTGTTTATTGTCTTTTCTACTAACTCTATATTTACTCATCATTTTTAGTCATCTGGAAAACTTGAAGCATTTGTTGAGAAAAGGAGGAGGAGGAATGCTGCAAAGGACCACAGATACATGCCATATCGTAGATCTGATGACATGGAATAGATTTTGTAGTTTTCAGATTCTTTCATAAGCTATGATTATATTGGAATATAGCACCAAAAATTCGTATATGAATTTTGTCTACCATTTTTGGGGATTAAATATTGACCCTTATTAATGACTAGTGGTATTTGTTGTGTGACTGACTAGGATTTATCTATTGAAGATTTACTAATTTGGTAATGGAGAGGTGTCACTAGACTTGCGCAATCTTTTGATTCTTTTTTGTTGTGTACGCATGGAGAAATGTGTTTGCCATTATCAATAGGTCCCTTGTTTTAGAAACCATTTATTTAAGATATTTTTTTTT